AATTCTAAACCCCCCCCCCCCCCAAAAAAGAAAAGACAGATCAAGGAATATTAAAGGTGGAAAATTACCTAAAAATGTACTCCAATACATGGAAATGCTGGAATTAGAAGACTCCTGGAGGACCAAACATCCAAAGGGTAGAGACTTTACCTTCTTTTCAGACAGACATCAAACATATTCAAGAATACACATGTGCTGGGTATCAAAAAGTTTGACAATGAATTTAGAAAAAAGTTGAGATTCAACCAAAGGTATTTGCAGACCATAATCCCAGAGAGGTAGTCTTGCAATGGAACAGAGAATCAAGAAGAAGATGGAGATTAATTTTTTTTTTTTGCTACAAGAAGATGTAGTAAATAAGTGTAAAAAAGATTTGGAAGACTTTTTTTTTTTTAAATAACCACAGAAAGAATGTCTCCAGCTACAATTTCGGAAGCAAGTAAAGCTTTTATCAGAGGAATTCTATTAGCAGCAGCTGCTAAAAAAATGAGAACGATTAGAACAAACTAAGATAATAACAGGAAAAATTCAGAGACTGGAACATAAAAACAAACAATAAAAACACTAGCAGAGATTAAACAATTAAAAACCAATTAGATGCGTTAGAAGTAGAAGAGGTACAGAAAAAAATTAACATTTCTAAAACAAAGGTATTTTGAACATGTGAATAAACCTGACAGATATCTGGTGTATTGTCTCAGGAAGGAAAAAGAAAAAAGAGAAGGGGATGAAAGGGAAATTATTCTCTGTCCCAAACATGTACTACATGACTGTCTTTGACAAATGTAATTATGTTGTATAATCCATTACTCTTTTGTTTCTGTATCCTCACTATTTTTCTAAAATAGATTAAAAAAACAATAACTCCTATAGCTAGATTGTTACTATTTTAGTTCTATGAATGGGGAACTGGAGTTCTATGAATGGGGAACTGGACATGCCCAGGACCACAAAGGCTGCGATCACACACACTCTATGATCCACTTTCAATCCACTTTCAATGCACTTTCAAACTGGATTTTTACTGTGTGAACTGGCAAAATCCAGTTTGAAAGTGCATTGAAAGTGGATTATTTAGAGTGTGTGATCGCAGCAAAAGTGAGTCTATGGCAAAGGTAAGATAGAAACTCAATTTGCCAAAGAAATTGTTATCATTACTGATCTCAACCCATTTAGTCAAGCTAAGTGACAATCTATGCTCTGCTGAGAATGGACTAAACTGGTACCACAAGACTTCTTATTTTTCTTTAACCTTAGTATTTCTTTAACCTTAGTATTTTCCGAAACCATTCATTTAATTTCTCAACCATAGCCTCATTTTCTGTTTATAAATCCCTTACAACAAAAATAAAAAGTGGAAGAAGGAGAAAGGGAATAAGGCAGGATGTCTAACAGAAGGCTAATATTCACACAATAAAAGAAAATTAGTTCATCTTAAATTGCCTGGAGTTATTATTACTAGCTGTATTTTTAGATCGCCTGGTAGCTATCATGACTCCCAAAGCAATTAGTAATACAAACAAACTATATACATTCACAAATAAGATAATGAACACAGACCCGAAGCTCCCTTATATATTGAGTAAGACCACTGCCCTATCAATGTCAATACTGTCTACTCTGACTGGCAACAGCTCTCCAGTGTAGAGGACTTTCCCATCACCTACTAACTGATCCCCTGAACCCTATTTCAAGGATAGAGACTGAACCTGGAATGCAAACCTGCATGAAAACCAGATGCTCTACAACTAAGCCATGGTGTCTCTCCTAATACAGAAAATCGATTGTGATAGAAGAAGGAAATGCTGAGGAAGAGTGTATGTGATAATTCACTGCTATTTGTTCTACTGAAGATTATTTCTCCCTCTACTCCCTCTACTACTCATCTGATTTATGGTGACCCTGTGGGTTTTCAAGGCAAGATACCTTCAGAGGTGGTTTGCCTGTGGCTGCCTCTGCATTGAGACCCCGGACTTCCTTATGGTCTCCCATACTAACCTGGGCCAACCGTGCTTAGCTTCCGAGATCTGAGTAGCCTGGCCTATTCAGATCAGGTATTGTGGTTCTACCAGCCACAGTGACCCTCAATGTACCTAGTGACAGCTGTCTGGAAGGTTTGGGCCATACTAACCTTCCAGACAGCTCTCAGTAGCTACAATAAGGGCCACTGAGAATTCTAATGGAAAATCTGATTGTAATTTACATTGTAAAGTAATAATTTGCATTCTTTATGACTAGCCTCTTTGCTAACAGCCTTCTTAGGATAGATCAAGGTGGGTAGCCATGGTGGTGTGAAGCAATAGAACAAAGTTAGAGTCCAGTGGCACCTTTAAGACCAACAAAGTTTTGTTCAAGGTGTGAGCTTTCGTGTGCATGCACACTTTGTCAGACGATGAAATGGAATTATATATCATAGTTGTATATATAGGAGTGGTTTGTTAAATTAGCATGCAAAATAGTGAGGACACTTTTTTAACAGATCAAAAGAATGGCAAGCTTAGTTCTGTTTTGGTTCAACTGGGTGGGGGGAACATAGGTAATAAATATGTTAGAACTGGAGAGTGATGTACCCTAATTTGTGAGAATCCAGTCCTTAGACCCCATCCATCTCCTTTCAAGCATGGAGGTGAATTTTACAGCATCTTGGCTGTGTAGTGTGCTTGCTCAATGCTTCTTTTTGTGTACTGCTATCTATATAGTTTTGCCTCTTTAAGACCTAGAACTAAACAAGGGTAAATGGGACACTGAATTCCACTGTTCCTTCCTTACTAATAAAAAAGAAGAAAGGCAACACACAACTGTACTAGATCTCCAGCCAACCATATTTAATTTTAAACAAAAGAAAGAGTTTAGCATTACCCTCATGCCAGATACAGCCAAGGTGTTCTTCAGCCGATACTTGCCGTCCTTCTGGGGATAGGTATATAGCAGAACATCATTCATCTGTACAAAGAGGAAGATAAGATGAATTATTTGCAATATGCCGTACAAGTCTCAGTGGTTTTCTAGGTTCAGTATAAGGTGCAACTTAATGAACTGGCTGGGCTGTTACTAAAGAATGACCCGATCTCCAAATTTCAGGTCAGGATGTGAGTTGGTAAATCTGTGCAGAGCCTGGCATACAGCTGGGTGGCTGCGTGATGGCTTCAGAGACTTGGGGGATGTAAATTCTCTTTGGGCCCCCCAGGCTGAGGGGCTCCAGCACCGAACCATGAGGAGAGGCATAAATGTTTTAATTAACAAACATATTGGCTCATGCTATATAATTTTTGCATCATGTAATGTATCATGTTAAAATTTATGCTTTGCTTCAATTTTGTTCTTAGATTTCTGATTCGATCTACAACCCTAACCCTATGGTATTGTTTACTGAATACCCCCACTGTGTCAATTGTATTGACTCACTCTGCGTATTCCACCTTGAGTCCAAGTGAGAAAGACAGACTTTAAATGACACAAATAAATAAATATTTAACATTTCACCTGTGATCTTACACAGTCAAATAGGAAGCCTGTTTGCTTAGCTAGTGTACCAACGTTCATCGTTATTAATGATTTTGACATAATAAAAAGTACTACCTATTGAACTATATAATACAATTATTATGTGAACGTTCCTTGTCAAGTACACTGTGATTGCACTCCTAAGAGCGCTTTCCCGGGAGTAAGTACCCACTGAATAAATGGGATTTACTTCTAAGTGGAGCTGCTTAGGATCATCATCCATGTTATCTACTGTCAGCACATTTGAGGGCAGGGTTGCCAGAGAAAGGTCCCAAGACTATGGTGCAACTCCCCTGCCTCAAATGTCTGTGACATTCTGAGAATTTTCTCAGTTGGTTGTGTGCTTCCCCAGAGTGCCAACACAGCACTGCAGTGCCTAATCAATCCTAATTAAAACAAGCACAAATTTAGCTTTTCATGTAGTTCCTGGGGAACAGAGTGCAGCAACACCTTAATTGAGACAGCTGTTGAGCACAGGCTTGCCAACTGGCCAGGAGAAAAATGCCTTGTTCCTTTAACAGTGTGGAAACAGGCCACTGAAGCTTTTCATGGCACAGAACTAAATCACAACATAATTGCTGCAGATCAAACTGATATTTAAAGGGACCACTAGAGGGACCTGTTTAAAAGCTGGCAATCCAAGTAGAGCCAGAAGTATTTTTTGCAAGTCACCAGTTTTTGAGGGTGGTATTATATGGATTATCCCTACTTTTTTTAACAACAAAGAAAGAACGGGATTTAGAATGATCTGAGGGGCATAGGAAGGATTTTCTAAAAGATAAAACCTTTAAATAAAACCTTTTCCTTGCTGCCATTTTCCCTATTAGAAATCAACTTCCCCATGCTGCTATAATGGAAAAAGTATTTTTCCCCTAAAAGGGGGGAGTTGTTACTGTCTATTAGGAAAACATCATGGGGGTGCATAAAGTGTTAAACTCCCTACAAGCTGTCGCCCCAATCCTCCCCCTGCTGCTGCTTTCTAAGGTTAAAGATGTACTTCACAATGTCTGATCATGGATTGTCCCCTTAACATGGGGTGTGGCCTTGAGATCTCCCAAACTGCCTTAGAGATATCTTCTTCTTAAGTTCTTAATAATAAATGCTCCCACTGTTTTTGAGAGTGGACAATCACAGAGATCAGCAAGTAGCAGGGAAGCCAGTTCGTTGACTATCAGCACTGATTTTACTCTTGATTGAGGGCTCAACTACACATTACAATTTGTCATGTTGATTTAAATTTTTTTGCAAGTTTACCTGCCAGGAAGATGGGCATCCAAAAGTTTTTCCCAGTAGAGGTAAAGGCAGGTACAGGATGGCCTTTTTCAATGAGAAAACAGTGGGGTAGGAAAGCATTACAGTTTCCTTGTCCCCTCCTGCCCCTTGATAAAGCAACCCCAGGGGCTTATTCTAACGTGTAGTTGCGTCCACTTGATGAAACAGGCTACTGTCTGGCAATGCTCCCTCTAAGCTGTGGAGTCTTGTGAGCAAAATTTCTACTGGCATTAAAGTTGTGAGCGAGCAATTTGGCTGCTGCATACATTAGTTTGCTCTGGAGCCATCCTTCCTGAGCTAAGACAAAAATGTGTGAGCTGGAAGCTAAAAAACTGTGAGCTAGCTCGCACTAACTCAGCTTAGAGGGAACTATGCTGACTGGCCTTCCATACAGCTATGAACTCAACAGCTGTTGGATGACTGAACTGCCGTGGAGCCTATGTCACTTGTACATCTCAGTACAGTACCCCACTGATTAGCAGGTTCTATATGACTGCCCTGACCTGGATAGGCCAGGCTAGCCTGATCTCATCGGATCTCAGAAGCTAAGCAGGGTTGGCCCTGGCTAGTATTTAGATGGGAAACCTCCAAGGAATACCAGGATCCCAGTGTTGGGGGAGGCAGTGGCAAGCTATCTCTGAATGTCTCCTGCCTTGAAAACCCTAGGGGGTCGCCATAAGTCAGCTGTGACTTGACAGCACTTTCCACAACCAAATGACTGCATCTAAGTGATTATGTTTCACTGCTCTTGACACAGTCGTTACTTATCACTGTAATTCTTTTTGTGAAAATGTTTTGCATATAATCATCAGCTGTGGGGGTGCTCATTTTGTGGGCACCAAAGCTCCCCACTTAGATTTGTTAGGAATTAGTTTCTGAATACTGGCAATGTTGACTGACAATTGTTGCCAGCCTCTCAGGGAGATTTTCTTTTTTTTTTTTTTAATTGTTTATTTAAGTTTTTCCATCTTATACATGCATACATACATTTGTCTCTTGTTCATTAACATTTGGGGGTTATTTATACAAATTTTCCGCGTACCATTTTATGGCTTTATGCCATTTCTTGTTAGAGGAGATTTTCTAACTCTGTAACATATAGATTCAAATGAGAATATCTGGAAACATATAAAAGGACTGCAGATTCAATAAATTTGCAAACACATTAGTATAGAGCTGGAGATCATTGTAGTCTTTCCCAGGGCTTTTTTTTGTGGAAAAAGCCCAGCAGGAACTCATTAGCATAATAGGCCACACCCAACAGCAGAAACTCATTAGCATATTAGGCCACATCCCTGACAGCACATCTGATTAACATATTAGGTCACACCACATGCCTTCCCTTGGCTTGCCTGGGCGCCCCGTGGCTGGGAAGGCACAGGGAGGCATTTAAATGCCTCCCCAATCCTTCCAGGGGCCTCCCTGGGCCGCCTGCCTCAGAGTCACCGGGGGGGGGGGGGTCGCTCTCCAGGCCTTCCCTCTGTAGCCACACACGCAGATGTTTTGGCTGTAGTGGTCGTGGCCAGCTCTGAAGCCAGCCGGAACTCTGTTCCTGTGCGTTCCTGCCCAAAATTAGCCCTGGTCTTTCCTACCTTAAGTCTAGGGTTGCCAGGTCTGGGTTGAGAAATATCTGGAGATTTGGGGGGTGGAGCCTGAGGAGAGTGGAATTTAGGGAGGGAAGGGACTTCAGTGGGTTGTAATGCCATAGAATCCACCTTCCAAAGTAGCCATTTTCTCCAGGTGAATTGACCTCCGTCACCTGTAGATCAGTTGTAATCCCAGAAGATCTCCAGCCACCACCTGGAGGCTGGCAACCCTTCTTAAATCACTGTGCATTTTGTAAGAGTCCCTGTTACTTTCCGCCTCGCCCCCCATTTATGCCACATCATTCAGTTATTACTATAGCACAAAGATTATAGTAGCACAAAGAAAGGGGGGGGGTTGCTTGTCTTTTCAAAGCACTAATATTTACTTCTATAGCTTTGGCAACCGTACAACAAGGTGACAAATGGCTTGTCCAGTACGTTTTGTATCATTTACTTATTGCTTCATAAATTACCAGATCTGTGAACATAAATCTAATAATCACAGTGACCCTCCCTCATTGTCTGGATCTCATTATAAATCTTGGAGCTTGGGGATTGGAAAAACCTCAGCAAATTTAAAAAAACAACCCGAAATAAGTATTCCATTGAAATGAACTTCACATGGTGGGTTTTTTTTTTTTTTTAAAAAAAAGATTTTTAAAGATTTTAAAGAAAGATGGGTGTGTAAGAACTAATGCCACAAGAATATAATAATTTTTGTTATTAAATCCTGAAACGTCTCTTGGCTCATGCAGGTAGTAATTTCACCTCTAAAGCAAGATGCTTCTAGTGCAGAAAATATATAAAAGAACTGAGTTGAAACATCTCTTGAATATTTAGCTTCTCAATGTAGCCACGTAGTTTGGGGTAATTTCAGGTCACAGAAAAGGCAGCTGACGAAGGACACTCTACCATCCCCAAAATTAGCTCATGTACAGCATTGTCAGGCTCTTCCCAGCATGCATTGCAGCATCTCTTTGGCTACAAATCCTGCTTATTTTATATATATGAAATAGTTTCATAAAGCCCAAGTCATTCTATAGTTGGTGATGATTAAGGAAGCCACCCAAGTGCACACTGTTGCTATGGCAGCCATGATTAGTATCCCTCTGTTTTATTAAACATTAATGATAGTTTTGTTTGTTAATTGCCCATTACAGTTATTTCCCATCTGTTTTGTCCTTACATTTAAGGAACTGTGCCTACAGTCTCTTCTACCTTCTCACCAGTCATGAGTTGCTACTGTGAAATTCAGATTAATGCACAGCTTGCCAGAAGGGGGGATGGTAATGCTAACAATGCACAGGCCATCCATATATCTACAAAAGAAGGGTGGGATTGTATTGATGCTAGGACCAAAACTATACTAGATTAATATTACCCATCTTGTTCCAGGAGCAGTGGAGTTCTCCTGTACATAATCGATATGTCTGCCAGAAAGCAGGTCCACCAGCCTGACCAAGATCTCTATGTTAGTAATTCCTTTCTAACCAGGTTTTTTTTTGTATGTCTTACAGTGTATGCAAAACAAAGCTATTCCTTCTTTAGTTCTTTCATTTTTAATCATCTTTGTTTAGTTAG